TAATCTGTCTGAAAATAAGTGAAAATATGGGGAGTTGCTTTGTTTCTTAGTAATTCTTTCTGAAAAACTGAGGCTATTTTGACACACTATATTTGGAGTAGAATTAAACCCTAAGTTAAGTTTTCTGCCACAGCAATACTGTTTTGATAAATATCCATTTTTTAAAATATTTTGAATGCTTCATTAGAGATTTCACTGAACACTTTAACGTCTGGTTTGCTTAATGTTTCTATATTTCAGCAATGATCCTGCACTTACCTCAATTAACAAATGCAAGGAATTTTATGAGCTTTTTTGCTGTCATTCTGGGAGACTGCTTCTGGGATGAGCATGAGCGAGTCTGGTGCAATACTGATGGCAAGGAAAATTAACACAAAGCCCACGTGTCTGTGTTGGCTAGAACAGCATTGTAAAGGTTATTGTGGTTTTGGAGAACTTCTCATTTGAGAAAATATTTGCAGCTGTATAAATACTTGCCAAACTAGAGCTACAAGAACTAAAATGATCCTGGTTCAGCTGGTGTGCCTGTGCATGATGTATTGTCTAAAGCAGGTCTACCGAGTAAGACAGAACGAGCACTTGTGGTCAGATGTTCATGGTACTTTCCCTTTTGCTTGCAGAAGGCTTCACAGACTTGTAAAAGCAAATTTATTTATTTGTGCAGTTTAATGTTTAAATATGTAACTTGGATAATGCTTAGTAAGCACATCCATACACATATAAAACCTACTCAGATCTTATCTTTTGAGAACAGAATAAAAATAAGAAGTTTTTGTGGTATAATGCCAGCTGGCAGCCAAGGACCACACAGCTGCTTGCTTACTGCCACCACCCTCCCCTGTGGGATGGAGGAGAGAATCAGAAGGGTGAAAGTGAGAAAACTCATGGGTGGAGATAAAGAGAGCTTGATAGGTAAAGCAAAAGCTGTGCGTACAAAGCAAAGGAGGAGTTCATTCACCACTTGCCCCTGGCAGGCACATGTTCAAAGCCATCTATAGGTAAGCAGGGCTCCATCATGCATAATGGTTATTTGGAAAGACAAACACCATTGCTCCAAACATCCCTCCCCTTGAAGGATGCTGTTGACCAAGTTTCTGTCTTTATTATTTGACCAAGCTTTTGACATCTCTCTGCTACATTGGCATCTTCTGGACTACTGCGTTTGGCTTCCTCATTTTAGGGACTTTCCTGATCTTTTTTGTTGTAAAAAAAACCCCTTAATTAAATGAAAAACCCAAACTTCTAAAAAGCCTGTCAAGCTCTTACACTTGATAGAGCTCCAAACAAGTAATCTTTGACACTTTCACCCTCTAATTAAAGAGCTTATAAATGGCATCAGTTTTCTGTTTCTTCTTCCCAGCAGCTCATTTTGAGATTTCTTTACTTTGCCCTTAACATTTACAGCCCTGTTGTCCTCTTCAGTCATTCAGAGATGCACCTGCTAAATGGGATGTCTTGTCATTTTCACCATGACTTTGAATCTCACTCACCTTGCTTATTAAACCCATCTCTTCATAAAACTTCTAGTTTGCAGCTCTTAATGCAGCCATTCACATATCAGTTTTGCTGACAACCTCAGCTCAAAAGGCTCAACCACAAGTGCCCTCTTCCAACTATTTGAGCAGTTATCTTTATTTTGCCTCCATGCTCGTAGCCAGTAACTTTTATTGATGAGTAAGAAAATGGCACCTCACTCTGCTCCCTGAGGGTGCTGCTGGGAGCATGTGTTACCTGTTATTTGTCAACCCTTCAAAGCAGAACAATTAGAATAGACATTCCATGCACAGTTGTAGTTAGAGTAGGATAGTATGGCACCAATGCCACCTGAACAGGAGATGTGAAAATATATATATTATCTGAGGAAAAAACAAAGAAAAGCAGCCGCACACAATGGTCTGATCAGACAGATCAGCTGTCTTTTAAATTAGGAAGTGACTAGGTCTGAGTTGTCAAATCTGCTTCACCCAATATTAGTAGTACAAACTTTACTTTAGAAAATTAACCTTTATACATTGACATTTTAGCAGCTCCAATGCCAACTAAGTAATTGTTTCTAACAGATTTCAAAACGAGGTAACTGCAAGTATCTTTCAACTGTGCATTTTTATTTTTTCTGTCAGTGATACAGATGCCAAGACAGCTCTGAGAAATCTACCGAACAAATGCCAGTCCTGACACCTGGCAAGGCTGGCCTCTCAGCAGGACAGCACTGGAAACTTTCATTCCATGTGTGAAGGATGCTCAGCAATTACTTAGAACAATTTATTTGAATAATTGCCAATTTACTTCCCAAGATTTCTATTAAGTTATGAGGTATTACCTTCATGAACGATTATAGTTTTTAAACTGGTCTGCAGTTTTAATCTACAAAATTTCAAGTAGGATTTTGTATCAGTGCAATGACATTTGATTAATAAAAGGATCCAACCATATGTAGAATTGCTTCATTTTTCACCTCTTGTATCTTAAAGAGTCAGAAAGATCCAGCACACTCCTAGTCAAAAATTCCGTGTAATACAAATTATTGAGTTTGATAAAATATATTTCCTAACTATTTTCTTGGGTTTTGCTGGGAAGAGCAAAGTTCTCAGCAGCATTTCCATGCCGTTCCTGAAATCTCTCTTAACACTAGATTTTAGTCTGCTTGTAGTTTTAAAAAAATATATATATACCTGAAGTTTAGATAACCTAGAAAAACTAGGTATTAACAACAGTCCTCAGTACCACACACAATTTTATAATGATGATTAATGTAGTGATCTCTATTATCAATGAGCAAAATGTGCATTAAGGACAATTCAGAATCAAATTTCTTTGAATTAGCTCTAGTGTTCATCAAATGATCACTTGATGAAGTCTCTTCACTTCAAGTCTCTTTAGGCAGCATTAAACTACACACATCTTGCCAGGACATACTGGGGTAAAATCTGAATGTCATCAGGTAAGTGCTGCTGAGCTAACATCAACTGACTTAAAACTCCTTTTCCTTCCACTTTTTTTAAATGTGTGAAACAATTATGACAGAAATGGAACATAGTGTTGGGTAGACTGCTTTAACTCTGCTTGGAAAAGAAAATTTATTCAAACTGTTCTTTACTGTCTGGCAAGTCATGCCATATGTAGAAAAATCCTGCACAATTGTTCATCAACTGGCACAGAAGTGACCTTACTTGGACCTGTCCATGTTAATGTTTCCCAAATATAAATGGATTAATCTTTTTAGCTAAGACTCAGTTAATTGATCAAGGAATAAAGTCAAAGATTGGTCCTATTGTGTTCTCAGTAATTTGACCAGTAAGTGGGAAATCTTGGGTGAAAGACCAACTTAGGTCCCTCACAGGGTACTAATTTTATGTGCTAAAGACTAATGTGTCTTAAAGTATCTGCAAACAACATTTCACTTTTAATGATGTATACAAAAAGAACCTCAGTCCTGTCACAACTTTTAGTAGGGAGTCAATAGTGAGAGATGACCAAGTGATTAAAGTAAAAATTACCAAGGAATCAACCTGTAAAAATATCAGGAAAAAAAATTGGTATTTCTACTGATTTAGTATCTGGGTGGGCTGTAATTTTAGTAAAGCATCCTACTTACCATTTATTTTCTGTAAAAGGCTGAGCTGGAGTGCACTTGGATAACAACTTGCCACGTTTGAAAAGCTGTCCTAGGAATGGAATGAACCCCCACACCACCAAGGCCTGCATTCAAAACCAGTGTATCACAGTCTTGTTTATTTATGATTTTATAAAGGGGTCTTTCACCAAAGGATGAAACATCTGCTTTAAGAGTTTATCAAACTCTCATGAAACCCTGTAACAGAAATGAACAGCAATCCTAAACTCAGTGGGGTTTCTGAATATCTCTAACTCAGAAGTTTTTCTTTTGTCAGCACTGCAGCAGAAAGTGTTTTCTACAACCTTCTGGCAACGAGTTTTATAGGTGCCTTATCTAGCATATCCTAGTAGCTACAGCACAGTTATCTCTTAGAAACAACAAAATGGGTAACAGATTATAAAAGATGGTATTTTTATCCTCACTTTGTATCATATTTCACAGACTAAAAATTCAGTGAGCTCTGGATCACTAATAATTACAGTGAGAAGTGCCCTTTTTTCCTTCCTGTCATTACACAAATTTTAGATTTTTGTCTTTTAAAAGCTAGATTCTCCTCATGCTTTCATCAAAACAGCAAGTTAATATCTGTCCACTGCTTCCCACACTGTTGCCAAAAGGAAGTGAAAATGAGTTGCAAGAGTTACTTCTCATAAAGGCAGTATTTCATAAAGGTAGCTGACCCTCTTCTGCCATGTGTAACAAGAACATTGATATGCTTTTGAAATGGAATTGCCACAAGAGAAATTATTGAAACTACACTGGAAGTTGCACCTTAAATACACATTAAATACAGAACAGAAGTCAGCCAAAGGTAGATAAGCAAAACAATTTTCAGTAACATCCTTCAACCTTCCTTTATTTTCACCACAGCTCTCCTCCCTCCCTGCTTACAAGGTGAATGCTGTTGTCTGCACTCTCTTACCTATTTAACCCTAGTGCAAGCACTGCTGTCCCCCAGCAACACACCACTTGCCAAGGCTTCACTGACCTGCTTGCTGGGACACCTCAGTCCCCCACCACACCCCAGTGGCACTTCTGGAAGGTCTGCATTCTTAAAGGTACAGCATATGTGGTCATAACTCAGTCTCTAACAAGATATGACTTTTTGGTTGTTTCTGTAGTTTGGGTTTGTACTATAAAAATCACTTTAGTACATTGTACTTGCTTATAAGTAGTTATGTTTCTAGCACAGAGATACCTCAGTTTGCAAGAATCAGGGAGAGTAACAGCTGTAAAGTTACAGGTATCCCCACTTCTTAATGTGGTAAGTATAATTTATGTAATCCCAGCTTATCTTCTGTTTCACTCTCTTCATGTCTCCGATTTTCCTCTAGTAGATAATTTGTCTTCAGTGACAGAAAAACATTCTGAGGCACTGCTGGTATCAGTAGAGACAGTAGAGCTGACTTAGCTCTTCACTGTCAGAATCACTGTCTTTCGGTGCCCCTCCTGCCTCCCACAGTGTCAGCACAGAACCTCCTGAAGATGGATCACTGCACGTGCCAGGAGCAGAACAAGCTGCATTCTGAGATGCTGCAGACTCAGGTTTAACCTCCCTCCTAGGACAGGAAGAGTTGTCCTCAGGAACAGTTTCACTTTCTTCATCTTTTACTGTTGTTTCTTGTTTTGTTGCTGTAATAGGAAGTTGAGTAGAAGATGCATTCTCATATTTAACAGGAGGGACAACTGAACATAAAGGCTGACTACAAGAATTACTATCAGCAAGCATTTCTGCACTTTCAGTTTTCTTGGATGAACTCACAGGGAAGAATGGAACTTCATGTTTTGGATGACCATGTCTAGAAGGAGACTCTGCACAGGATAAAAGCTTCCCTAGATTTTGAGGTGTTTTGTCAGGAGATTTCATCTTCTCTTTCCCTGTCTTTTCAGTACCATTTCCAGACAAAAACACAGAGGAAGTCAGTGAATCAGAGCTATTCCTGGCAATACTTCCCAGTGAAAATACTGGTGAAGGGAACAGAAGAGGGTTATTTTTGAATGAAAATACACTATTACTGGGGTGAAGGGAGAACTCAGAGACATCATTCACCCCTGCTGCAGTGTTGGTTTCTGAAGTGCTGCAAGCTGCAGTTGTGACGGATTCTGAGGCATTACATTCTTGCTCCCACAAGACAGATGGTTTCTGGGCACCATATTCTGCAGTTTCCTGGGCAGAAAGTGTTTTTCCTTTCATGTGAGATGATGCATTTTTGTCAGGTGACTTCTCAGATTGGCAAAAAAATGAGGACAATGGTAAAATAAATGAATCACTGACGCCCAATCCTGCAATACAATCTCTGTCTGAATTGCGAAAGGGAAATGAAGAATCTGGCTTCTCATTTTCTGCTGAGTCTAAATTAGAACTGGTTGAAGCATCAGGAACTGCAGTTTTAGTTAATGGACCATATAAATGGTTTCTAAATTTGTTTTGCTCCTGGTTATCGGTTTTATCCACATGATCACATATTCCTAGATAAAACTGAGGGAAACCGTATTGCCTGTCTTTCTTTTCCAAGGAAAATGTACCTGCATCTTTAGTCAGCCTAGGCAGTGAGCTGCTACATGCACCGAAAGCAAAAGGTGAAGCAGAAAGCTCCTCTCCAGAAGAATCTAGAAATTCTGAATTTGAAACAGTAACGGCTACGGATGCTGCTGGTTTTAAGCTGGATGAAGTACTAGAATTTGTGTCCATTTGATTGGAAACAGCTGCTGATGACTGTACTGGCAGTATTTCCTTAATTACTAAGTTTTTAGAGTTTTCTAATAAGGCTGGAGTGGTTACCCCCTGGGAACTTCTCTCATGAAATAATTTTAAGTCACCATTTGTTTCAGAATAATTTGCATTTGTGGATGCGATACTGTGATTACTTGCTCCAGAAAAGCTTCCCTCAAAGCCATCTCCTCTTTGCAGGGCTCCCGTTTTTGCTTTATCTGTGTTACTTGCTTTGGTAGGTGAAGAGACAAAAGTAGTTACTGAGAACCTACCCTTCAAAGCCTCAGCAGTTACAAATTTATACTTTCTATTTGCCGGTAAAGTCTGTGTCTTGAACTCCTCAGTGAGCTTCTGACGTTCCATATAGTATTTGTAACGTAATTCCTACAATTACAGCAAAGAATCCTTGTTAAGTAAAATGGCATTTGTGGATTCAGGTCATAAAATTTAGTCCTAAGACTGAAAAAAAGTTTTCACATATTTTATATAGCATTTATTATGTATTTTTCCATTGCTACTAGAAGGCAACAAAATACAAGTTACTATGGAAAAGTTATTTTAAAACAATTAAACAAGATACACATGGATCCCTGATGACAGAGAAGGTACTGAAATAGGAGACTACAGAAAACTGTATTTAAAGTCCCTGTCGACACCACAAATAGCTAAAAATACCAGCTTAGACATTAAGTGACAAATTCTCAAATGGTCATAAAAATAATAATCTGAACCCAATTCAGGTGCTGGGTCGCGGTATCTTTTTTTTTTTTTTACTAGATACAAAACTACATAAACTGTCTACTCCATATGAATAGAAAACATATTTTCTCCAAAATAATACAGAAAAGAAAAATAATTCTACATTTAAAGAACCTAAACAACTTTTTCATTTGATCACCTGCCATCGGTACTCTCAGAACATCTGTTATAGGATTCACTGCTGGCCACGCTTCGCTAACTGCAACTAGAATCATTCTGGACACAACACTCAGCTGCTGACATGGAACTGCTAGTAAGTGAAAAAAATGTAGTTGTGTAACTAGATCACTGGAAACAAACCGAAACAGAGATTGGATCCAGTTTCATGTTAAATTATCAAGAATTTTTGTAGTTTTTGTAGAGTGAATTCTATTAATTTTCAGAAAACAATGCAGACAGATCATTTTCTCTTCTATAGGCAATATAGCAGCTTTTTTGGATTAGGAAGCTACAGATGTGGCTGAAAAAGCCACACTAAAATATAAAGTATTTGAAGTCAGTAAAAAGATTAAGTTCCAGCTTTCTGAAGAAAGAAAGTAAAATCCTGACAGCTTTAGTAACCTAGTCAGATTTACATCCTAGAACTGGAAGGTAACTTCCTAGCAGGAAAATTGGAAAAGATTATAAAAGCTTATTTAGAAACTTGTGCTATAACACATAGTAACTTAGCTACACTTACAACAGGTGTTCAGTCATACCTCATGGCTCATGTTTTGAAAGGCTGACATTTCCGATATCGACATCAAGCGAGTCGAGATCCTGCTGCCATCTGGGAGTGCTTCCTCCTGTCCTGCTACAGGCTGAAAAATGTTTTGCAGCAGACATAGTTCATTTTGACAATACAAAATAAACAAAATAGTATGCAGTGTTGCAGCCCCACAGTCAACAACTTACAAGAAATGCGTTAGGTATATTCTTCTGTTCCTGCCATTGCTTTATGTTATTTTTAAATGGAGTATTTTTTGAGTTCTCACTTCCTCCAGAGTGCAGATCTATTAGAAAGAATACAATACTGATGGGTAACATACTAAGTATAGAAAATACTGAAAGATTACTGTACATCTAAACATAGATTCCAATGAAAAACAAAAGTATATTGCCCTAAAGGAGATCCTAGTACTTGCTGAGATTTCTGTGGTGCAGAGCAAGAGGCCTGCGTAAGCAGTTTCCTAAACGCCTGGGGACACCTGCCCTGATACAGATTCAATCAGATCCCTGTTCAGGCTCATATTACATTACAACAAATGCCCGTATAGTTCAGCAGCACACTTCTGGCAGGGATGGTACCAGCTGTGTAGGAAAATGATGATACTTCCTCCACATTCCACAAAAACAGCCTAGGGACCTTCCAGAGAAAGCACCTTCATACAAGGCATTTAAAAGCTCTTGATGAATTTATCATTCATTAATTTGCTCAGATGCTTTCTGAACACTTGCATGCTTCTGCCATGCAGACTGTTTATTAGCAATTAGTTCCAACAGCTGAAGGTTCCTAGAGTGGTTTCCTGAATCTTGTCCTATATTAAGTCCTTCTTCCTTACCTTTAACAATGCCTACGTTAACGGGCGTTAACTTTAATGCCAAGATTTCATTAACCACAGGTTTAATATCCATCTTCTTTTGAGTATACTCCTGTGGTTTTTCATAGCTGGATGCTATATTCATAAGGTCAAGATGAGTTTTCATTCTGGAGAAAAAAAAAACAAAACACAATGAAACAACCAAACTTAAAACACCTCTCTTAAAGGCTCACATATCAACAACTAAATTACACCTGCTTAATAATAATAAAAAAAAATTAAAAGGAAATCACCAAGAGAGAAGAAATCAGAAAACATTTTCAATAAAATGTCAAGTTTCTTAATTTTTTTTTCTTCTTAAAACTTACTACTTCACAATTCACTTGTATTACATTTCATACACAGTGACAGCTGCAAGAAGTAGTGCCTGTATTTCAGCAAAAAGATTAAACACCCCCCCGCCCCTCTTCTTAGTGTACTACACCTGGATCTAGATTATACTCTTTATTCAGAGGGTATTGCTAATGTTAGCCTGAACCACAATATAAAGAACCCAATTTCCAATATTCTCTTTTAAACTCCACTTAAGCAGTGATAAGAAATGTAGTTAAGAATCTTTAGAAAGAAATACACAGGGTATGTGTACTGCAAATACAAAAACAAAGACACTGCAGAGTCTTCACAGAAACTCTTAAAGATTTCTGTCAAAGCTCCAAGCGTGCTTCAGTGTTCTTGAGTTCAAACAAAGGTATCTAAAAATATCTAGTCGCCATGTATTAATGAACTCCTACAATCAGCTTTTTTTGTCAGGGAGCCAATTCAAAAGACTGATTATCTACAAATGCCAAACAGTACGTCGCTAAAATACTTGACATATTTTATCAAATTTGGAATACACAGTATCCAAGAATCTGAAAGCATTATAGCACCTTAATTACTAAACACTGTTTTCATTTTAAGTTGCTATATCTGACCATATCCATAGTAACTATCTTCTTAGTTTTTAATCTTAGAATTACAAAAGAGAATTAACAAAGAATAAAAGAGAAAATATTTACCTTGTATTCAAGCCACAGGCCACCTATAAATAAAGTAAGAATTTGTAAGATATTCCAATTCTTAAAAGAAAGATATTTTATCAAAATACTACAGACTGAACTCCCTGTCTTCATTTCACACAACTGTAGGAAATAAACCTGCTAACATCCACAAAAAAAGAGAAAAAAAGCATGCAAACCTAAAATGTAAAAAAGAAAAATAGCTTTGGAACAACAATTTATCGTATAATATTTTGTGTAAAAGACAAAAAGAACTCCTTAAGAGCCAGATGAAGACATTCAAATAATCAATCATGACCCATATGGTTATCTAATCCATTTCAGATGTTCAGGTATTTGTAAATATTGAAAGACTATTTTGTATTTCTTGAAGCCTCTGTTACCTGCTCTCAAGATGGTATTACACTGAGATTTAAGAAAGCTGTCCTTTAGTTTTAAATCAGCCAGGTAAGAGCAGTATGAATTGCACTGCACTGCAGTCCAGTGACACCTCCCAGAGAATGGGTAACAAAAAGCAAAAAAGTGACTGGATTACAGACTACCTGCTTCTCTAAAAACTTGGTCATCTCACTGGACTGAATCTTAAACCAACAGCAACAAAACCCTGCCTCGCTGAGGAGCTGTGCACTGTTAGGGAGGGCAAGCAGGAAGATTCTCAAGTTTAAAGCATATTAATCACTGGAGTCAGAGTATTTCTTCCAAAAGTGGCAGTTGCCTTCACTTTGGGTAGAAGTGAAATCTTCCTTAGCAAGTCATTACCAGCAACTTAGTTCAACACTTAAGTACTTTCTCAGCTTCTCATTTATCTGATGGCAGCAAAAAGACCCACTGCAGAAAAGAGCAATATGCTGTGGTTTCTTAGGAAAGCATAAGCCTCCAAGAAAACACAGAATTCAGGAGTCACTTAAGTACTTTGCCCCCTATCTACCATCTGCCTAAATTCCATAAAACTGCAGTCACAGCATTGGACAGAGGAGGTGAAAAGGTCTACACTTGCTTATGCAACAGTGAAGATTAAGCTTGCGTCTTGGGTTCCTGCAGCATTTATCTCTACATCAGAAAGTTTTTCTCTGCAGTTCCCTTAAACACTATGAAGAAGCCTTTCAGACTTTGAAGTTTAAAAGCTTACAAGATCAAAAATGGAACTGAAGTACTTAGTACTCAAAGCACCTGAAAATAAATAGGAAAAAGCAAATAAGTGTGAGACAGTTGTGCAGGCAGTACTAGTAAATAACTCCTTACCCAGCACCAAGGCAGCTCACCCTCAGAGCCAGCACCATAATATACCATGTTACAGCAACAGCTATACATTAATTAGTTTTCAGTGAAGAAAACTGAAATCATTAAATATCACTGGTAAGTGGCAAAGTTTCAAACTTTTCTAAAATGCAAAGAACTGTTGCATAAAAAAGTATAAAGTGTTAAAACTTTCTTAGTCTGTATATTTAACTTGCTGGTTTTGTTTTTCCTTACCCCACCACTATCATGATATATCATGATGTATCTACAATATGGCAGGCTCTCTATGACATTTCAGGTTCACTGCACAACTGGTATGTTATTAAGGAATAACAAAAAGGCCATCACCTCCAGGAAGCGCTGAGGATCACACTCATGGACAAGCTTTTCACAATCCTTCAAAAAATTCTCAATGGTCTTTTTGTGACTTTCTTTCATTTTCTTCCAAATCTGAAATTCTTTCTCTTTCTTGCTTCTTTGATTTTCAACATCTTCTAGCAATTGTCGTTTCTTCATTTCCAGAGTTTTAAAAATTTCTCCAAACTCCAGTGCAATTATCTCTGCATCATTGTTCACCACCATCTGAACACAGGACACAAAACCAGATGAAAATGCAGTATTGCCATCTACATGGAGGCACTTGCCCAAGTAAGCTCTGAGTACATCTACGCCAGAAGCAGCACCAGAATGTTCCATATTGCAATGCAACACATGCAATTATGTAAAAAATATCCAGTGTCTGTAACTCACATCAGTATCATTTGGATGTCTTGATATTTCATTCATCAGCTTCTCGTTTATTATTCTCATTTTTTTCAGACTGCTGAAGAAAGTTAACTGCAAGACAATTGAAACACTTATTATGGCTTTATCCACTCTGTTAAATAAACACATTTCAGTGGTCATCTAGAGTCACATCATGGGATGTTCTGTACAGCACATTAAGCAAAGGCTGTGACTCAAAACATCACTTAATAAAACTTAATGCTTTCCTGGATCAGTACACAAACTATTTTCTGTTTCTCTCTGTGTGCAACTGTGTGATCTTCACTTGTTTTTTAAGCCTCACAATCATCAAATAGAAAGCTGTCCACAACCGAGTTATTTATGTTTAATTTTAGACAACGTTTATCACCAGTTTTTCCTCCTTTATCTCACTAGAGCATCACAAAGTTCTACACAGAACGTCTAGTACAAAGACCGTTTTCTCCTGGTTTCCCAAGCGACATGCAAATGGTGGAAGAAGCAGGAGGGAAATCGGTGCAAAAACTACTTTTGGCTTAAAGAACAGTCAGAGCTGTACTTAAACTTCTACACCCACACTGCTCATCACTGCGCTGCAGTTGCTCCAATTCCCACCCAGTGGAACTGCTGTCACGCCGTGCCACGCAGCACTCGGCTTGCACAGGGCTTGTAAAGCTCATTCTACCCAAACGGTGACTACTCCGGCAAAACCCGCAGCTACTACCACTACAAACAGCCAAACCATTCGGCCAGGCAGTTGCTTTCTTCATGCAAACAGGAATGCATTTTGGGGTTACAATTATTAAATTATTACTCACTTAAACCATCTCTTTCTAAATACGTAATTATCTATGCCCCAAAATAACCCATGTCTGCTCAGAAAGCCTACAAACAAAGCATCTCTGCGTGGGTTGGTATTTTTGTTAGGACTAGCACCTTTCAGAACTTGTAAAACTGGATCCAGACATAGAATAAACTCTCAGTATCAGTACTTTTTTTCAAAGACTCCAAGTCTTCGGAAAAAAGTCTATATGAAAACCAAACAAAACCCAACCCAGCTCCTCAGGTGCTTTGGTAAGTTTGGTTCAGATCTGCTGATCCTGCAACACTGCCTGGTCCCCTGCACGTAGTGAAGCCTGACGGCCGCAGGAGATACACATCCCGGAATAAACAAACCCCGACTCCCGGGTCAAAGCATCACAGCTCTCGCCGCCTCCCGCCTGCCCACCACGGCGCGTTCTTCCTCGCGTTTCTGAGCAAAAGCAATCCGG